ATCAACATATGCCCTCCACAAAAAGAGATGATTATTAAAATCCAGTGGGATTTCATAATGGGATCAACTACAACTGTCCCTTGGTACAAAAGCCATTCTCAATTAGTGCCTTCTAAGCATTATCATGTTCAATATGTAAATGATGCAAAGTCATGATATGCCAGTTTTGTTATTTCCAAGGCAAAATTTTATTATTTTCCAGAGATCTACTTGGACACATTTCTTAACAGCATTCTTAAGCTTTGAAGAAGTGTGCTGCAAATTCTTTGCTTTTTCACAGTTGGGGAAAGAAATCCAACCCATACCTGGATTTAATTAGAGAGGAAAAATTTAAATGTTTAAAATGTTTTATGCTTCCAGCACCCCTGAAAGAGCATCCACCTTTCTTCTGAAGTGCAAGTCATCTTTATTTTCAAATTAATTTCAAGAACCTATGGCACGTCTCTCTTGAACATGGACAAATTTAACCTCAACCTTTACCTTCCACGATTGCAATCTCTCCATGGTAATGGCAGATTTTGAAAGCTATTCCAGTGCTCAGGTCTGTGGAGCTCATATCCTCCCTCCTCCCACACCAACCCTTTCACTTTACTGAAGGAAATGAGAAAGAAAGTTGTCTTACCGATAACTCCAAGGTTAATGTCCCCTGCGAACCCCACCTAGCAAGTCGACATCATGACATGTCAGGTCAGCCTCAATCACGCTTCCCTGATAGTCAGGTAAAAGGAAGGAGTTAAAATACAAAATTGACACTTGCAGATTTCTGGACATCAGAAAATATATTCTGAACTGTCTTTCAGAGCTTCTGGTAACCTCCAAGTTGTTAAAACATTTCTTCAGAGGGATTCTCCTGTTCTAAAATTTCAGAAGTTCCTGATCAATAACCAAGTATCGCAGATCCACCTTGACTATTTTATTTGAATGAGACCAAAAACTTATGGTTCCCCTTTAGTACAAGTGATTTTTTTTTCTCCCTACTCTACACATTTTATCAACCAACACATGCTCAACAAAACTGCTCTGGGTTTCAAAAGAACAATTTAAGCCAATAGACTACAACAGCTTCATTCAAATTCTAAGTTAACAGAAGCTCTAACTTCTTTTTTTTTTGTTGTTGTTTTAGAAAAAACAGGAACACAATGCGGTACACTCTTTCTATAAGGCTCTGAGCTACTCACGTAGTTCACATGAGTGACAGAATTCCACTGACAACATCCACCATACCAGCAATCCTTAATCACACACATACTCCACCTCAAGTCATGCATGATCAAAGACTGCTGATGACAGATTTCTAGAATAGGTCCTTGCTGTTCTATGGATGAGCCACGAGCATTTCTGGATAACAATTAAGTCTTTGCTGAAAATACATTCATTCAGTAGGGTCTATAGGTCATGGCACCAAATATTTTTGAGACGTTTAAGACTTTTTGTTCAGCACTTAACATTTATTTCCCTCCTAGCCTTATAATAAGAGTGCCCTCTGTTGTTTTTTTTTTCTGTGTAGTTCAAATTACAGAAATGGGCTTAATGTCCAAACATAGAAGGGACAAAAAATGGTCAGGTTTTTATACAGAGTCACCAAAATCATGCGGTGATCTTCTACTTCGAGTTTATTTTGGAAAGGTTTAAGCAATGCAGTTGTCATTCTTTAATAATCAGACTACAGAAGCTGACACTTAAACAATTGCTAGAAAAAATTAAACCTTTAACACTTTGAAAAAATGCAAACTGTGCTGAATGAAATAGTAAAATTATAAGTTGAGTTTAGTAAACTAACTTGTTAATAAAGTGAAATTAAGTATATAATAACACAGTAGCTGTAAAAGTATTTTGCTCAAGTTTTGGAACTGCTAGGAATCTGGTAACTTGCTTCTTAAGTCAAACACCTTATCAATACAGACATTTAAACAACTGCTATAAATGAGTGATCAAATAATTATTAAAACTCCATTTCATGGCTCCTCCTCCAATGCCAGCAGGACATAAAAGCTGAATATTGGTGTGTAAGTTGAAATCCATTTTCAACATATTACAGAGGATCTTTGCTAAGTTATACTGAAGAAACAATCAAAAGAAATGCACAAGAGTAAATTTAAATTTATTTTTTAACTAGATGTCAAAATTGTGCTGAGAATTTCTTCCCTTGAGTCAGGCATGGTAGTTTTCCACTGTACTATAGTATCTTTGCTTGATAATTTTTTTCCATCTTTTCATTAAGTTCTTCAAGTTCAGCACACACCACTATTCGAGTAAGCTGTAGCACCCCTTATCTAAAGATTAAATGAAAGTACTGCTGCAAATTTAAAAGGTGAATTTGAGAAGCCATAAACCATGTAAATCAAAGAACTTGTTATTTCTTGTAAATATAAACTTCTACTGAGTTTAATTGTTATGATTTTCAATTATAAAAATGCATAGCTCACTTATATTTACTAGTATAAATGGTGATTTGGGCAGAAATAAATACAAGATTCAGCCTTACAGTTCTTGAGGAAGACAATTTTAACTTTTTTCTTTCTCAGCTGTTTTGTAATCACTATAACTGAGGTGTTTCACTTCCTCCCCACGCCCCCCACAGGATTTACTAGCACCTCACCTCTCCTAGGCTAACATGTGCAATATGGGAAAACTACCTTCTTCCAAGATGGAATGGAGAGGACTTGAAACAGGATTCCAATTAAGCTCCTTGCACTAGATCCCCTTTACAATGAAGACTGAAAAGCCAGTATTTATTGGGACTACAGGGTTCTGCTAAGCACTACAAGAGCTGTAGAACTACCAGAAAGTCATACAGATAGGGCAGCAAAACTTTTGTGTTAAAACAGATTTACAAACCAGAACATTATCACAAGCCAAAGCCTGAAGTGTATACTCAGGCAATAGCACTCTGAGTTCACTGCTCAGGTAAGAAACAGAAAGGACATGACTTGGCCCCATTAACTTTATGAAGTGGGGAAAAATAACCCCAAACCCCAACATACTAGATACTGATTTTTTTTTTTAAAAGCACTTTTAAGCTACTTATGACCAATTCTATTAATTGGAAGAGCCTGACATGGGCAAACCCATTTCTGAGAAGGAGATAAAGACATCTTCGATTCAGGTCACAACTCAAAACCCTGCAATCCCATTCCAGATCCATAGCAGTGTGGGAAGGCTCATCTTACTGGGTATATTCTGACATAACACACTTGAGACACCAGACAGGAATAGAAGACAAAGGGAGGAGTATGACCACTGAAGTTTAACTTCCTCAATAGTCTGTGTTTGGAATGCTGTAAATCAAGTATGAGCAATGTATTGGATTTGGATATTTAGAGGTCCGGCAATAGTTTTCTTTAGAGAAAGTATAAATCCGTTTGTTTCTCTCTTTTCTTGAGAAGCAAATGTTCTTCATTGGGGTACAGAATGGCTTAGATGCAACAGAAGAGTAATGTCATGATTTGCCAGTTAAAATTGACATCTGGGAATGTCCAAGACAAGGGTCAAAGCAACACATAATATAATGTAGCTAGCAATGCCCTCAAAAGATAAAGTCTTAAACTTTTTAACAGCCTTTATTATAAGGCAGGAGAATTCTAAGGCAAATTGTTCATCATGGCAGAACATCAAATTAAAATGTCAAGATAGAAATAAGCAGAATCTGGAGAGCACATTTGTGTTATCTGTAGCAAGAGGTTAGCTTAGGGTGCCACAGCAGCCAAGTTGTAATTCTCATTCCTAGTCAAATATTATTTTAGATTAGACTAAGATGCTTGAGATCAAAATAATTTCCCTGTGTGTTTGTATGCTCAGTTATACAATAAGGCTGGATCCTACCAGAACAGCCTCCACAGGGACTCCACAGGACATCATCAAAGGAACAAAATTAACACCATTGTAGGATCTGCTTCCTTCTCCACTTTACATTAGAAGACTTATATTTAAATTTGATCTCTGTGAATGCTTGGATACAATTCAACACTTATAAATAGGAAAAAAAAAAGTTTCAAAATTAGATGCTGATAAATTATTGACCAGCAATTAAACAGTGAGTGCCTTTTGGGCTGTCTGTAATTTCTCCTAGTTTTCAGTCTGATGTCCACAGTGCTACATGCTGGAAAGCACAGGAAATTTTGCACGAATTTGATCACTCACATAGGCAGTTATACTTTGAAAACAGTATTTTTCACAAGAATTACCAATGAAATAATGTTTTAGGACACAATTGAATTTGAAATAGGTAATGTTTTGAATAGATTTTTGAGTTTTATTGAAATCTTACATGAACAAGAAATTGGAAATACAATCACATCAAGGAACAAATTGCCACGGCTTTGACGTTTTAAGCCAAACAAATTTTGTAGGGCAGATTTTCAAAAAGGTGTGAAGTTATAACAATTTAAAAACACAGTTATCCTACTTCTAGGAATGCAAAACATACAATCATGTTATTTTCAATACAAGAAAACTTAATTTGTTGTAATTTCTTAAAACTACTAAGACAAAGCACTAGCTTTTACTTTTATGTACAGCATACTCCTATGTAGTCTATCCCAAATCCAAAAAAAAAAAATTAAAAAAAAAAAAAAAAAAAAAGAAAAAAAAAAAAATTCACAA